GTATTTTCAATTGATGATAGCCAGATCTCAAACAATCTTCGAGAAATAACTAACACCCTGAAGTTGATTGAACAAATTGTCAATGCGAGGTAATGGATACCTGTTCTTTATAGTCACCTTATTGAGCTTACGGTAATCAATACACATTCGCATCGATCCATTCTTTTTCTTGACAAACAATACTGGAGCACCCCAAGGAGAGGTACTCGGTCGAATGAAGACTTTGTCAAGTAATTCCTAGAGTTGGATCATCATTTCCTTCATTTCAGTGGGTGCAAGATGATAAAGAGTCTTTGCAATTGGAGAAACACCAGGTACAAGATCTATTTGAAATTCTACTTGCCTGTTAGGAGGAATTCTAGGCAAATCAATAGGGAAAACATCAGGATATTCGTTAACAACAGGAACATCATCTACCATTTTCTTTTCCTCTTTTGCAATATCGACGGTGTAAGCTAGATAGATAGAACACCCCTTCGCTATGAATTTACGAGATTTTAGGAAAGAGATTCTTGTTAAGCTTCTTTGTTCACCGTAGATATAGATAGGATTCTCCCCTTTAATAGGAATATGTACTATCTTTTTGTAGCATAAGAGTTTTGCATGGTTCTTTGATAACCAATCCATTCCAAGAATTATATCAAAGTTGGGCAAGGAGATAGGAATCGGGTTAGCAAGGAAATTATAACCTTCAATTTCTACTACACAATTCCTATAAATTTTATCAGCAAGAAATGATATACTTCCCGCAATATCTACGTGAAATGGTTGCGCGAGTCCATAGCAAGCTGTTTGAAAAGTATGTGCAAATTCATGAGACAGAAAAGAATCTGAGGCACCAGAATCAAATAAGATGTGAGCAGGTCTAGAGTTGACAAGAAATATACCAGTCACAACATGCGACTCCTCACGTGCCTCTTCTGTGGTAATCTGGAATGCACAGCCCTTAGCTTTTGGCACCTCCTCCTTTTTACTTGGAGTATTCTTTGGTTGTTTAACGGAAGCTTGACTTCCTGTCACTTGGCTAGTAAGAGTAGGGCATAAACGTTTCTTGTTGCCAGTAATACCACATGCGTAGCAAGTAACATCCTTCCTTGGGAAAGTTGGCTTTATATGACCCGTTTCTCTACATCCATAACAGACAATAGATTCCTTGTTTATTTTGCATTGGCCGGGATGATTCCTTTCACAAACACGACATGAAGGCGATTGAATAGAAAAAGATTGTGATCTACCACGACCACGAAAGCACTCTGAGATTGTACTTGTTTGTTAGGTTTAGATCGAACAAATTGAGCTGGTGGAATAGAGGGAATAGGAACAATTCTTTCAGTACATGGATGCTTCGGGACAATAAAAGTGGCACCACGTATTTCTAAGTCATGGTCACGTCTTCGAGCATACTCAATAGCTTTATCGAATGACAGAACATCCCGATTGACAACGCATTCGTGGATTTCGTGTCGTAGTCCCTACATGAATAACTTAATTTTCTCGTTTTCAGTTGGAATATGCTTTGTAGCAAACCTTTCTCTTTGATTAAACTAAGTTTCATACTCATTCACAATCATTCCTCCCTGTTTAAGCTCGAGGAATTCCTTATCCAATCTCATCCTCATGTCTAGAGAACAATACTTATCTACCAAACGAGTTTTGAACATCTCCCATGATAAATTCTCATGGTCATACCCATTGAGAGCTTCATATGTTGCTTCCCGCCAAACTAAGGCTTCTCCGATGAGTATTGCAGAAGCATAATTGTCTTTATCTTCATTATTCACATGAGAAATACAAAACACTTTCTCTATGTTATGGATCCAGGTAATAACAACAATGGGATTAAGAACACCTGAAAACGTAGCGCCACTACTCTTGAAATCTTTAAACGAGGGATGCTTCACCTCTCCTTGTGAAGATTCTCTAGTGGCTTTCTCTTTGCCTTTATCATTATCCTTCTTATGTTCTTCGAGAGTCTGCCTAATGATACCAGTAAGTTTACCCAAGATTCGCTCCTATCGAGGGGATACTCAAGTATTTACTTCACCAGGTTTAGGATCTCCACCCACTTCTGGTGTATGGCTATCTTCCTGTTTAGCTATTCTTCTGAAAATCTGGAGCAATGTAATCTTTAGAATATTAGGATTTATTATTACCTAATACTTTACTTAAATCTTTCCTATGGTTTGTATCCATATATTCCTAATGAATCAGTTCATATATTGAACTTCCAATAGTTTAAGTCTAAATACCAACTCTGTGGTATTTAGTTCACTTAAACCACTGCTTTGATACCATGATTGAATGACCCTAACTTTCATAATTTTTTTGAACGACCCAAACTTTTATACTTCACAATATTGTTACTCCAAAACATACTACGTGCATATTCATAAATAATATTTTACATTGATAATTTCGATTACAAACGAATGGATACAAACCAACTATTTAAATATTTACATATTACTTAACTACCAAGAATATTAAAGTTTTATACAAACATGAATACAAAATACAATAGTTTCAAACTATTCAAATCATCAAACAATATATAACTATACTTGTTGCTTATTGCTTGCAATTATTAAACATTGAATGGGGTAAGCGGTGATGCTTAGTAAGTTCAATAGTAGATACAATATAATGTCATGCCATATACATACTTCAATATGACAGAATCAAAGGGAACAAGGAACAACAAAAGCATATGTGAATCATGTGACAAGCTTTCCATATCAATAGACGATTTGATTCAAAGATATACAATCAATGAGACATAACAATTTCCATACTTGATATACATTAATAAATCTTCGACCCAAATGGCACAGAAGACATACGCTTTCTGATTAAACATTTTGGTAGATTTCAGGCTTATAGCCATGTCTAACCATCTGCCAATGCCATAGAATAGAATCCATTCTCATACGGAGATATGCTCTACATGGCCAGAGGCTATGTACCAGTATCACCGTGAATCTAAGTCCTTTCACTGATCACATGGTCAAAGGTATAACTTTTGCTATCATAAATAGCAGAAATAATAACAACGGAAAAACACATAGCACATATAACACATAACATACAATTGTTCCTATATATTGAACTCACCATGAAATAACCGAAGGAATAAATGATAATTTGATCAGCACTTCGGCTCTAAATATGACTTTCTGCGATAAAACCATGGATTTTAATTGCAAACCGGCCTTACTCGGGCAAAGTTTTGGCTTGAAAATATAATTTTCTCCGGAACTTCGGAGTGCCGAGACTTGCTTCGGGTGTTGGATATGATACTGGGACTTTAGGGGGTGTTAAGGTGAATTGAGAGAGAGTGGAGGGTATAAAATGGTAGAATTTGTAAACAAAATCCGTAAACCCTCGGCTTCTATTTATAGTGGCTGAAGCTCAGCATTAAGCTCGGCGTAATTCTCTGTACGTGGGGTGTACTTCATTACCAGCCACTACGCTGGGAGTAATCTTTCAGACGTTGGGCGTATGGGAGGATCAGATTGGATGTGTCAAGCCTACGACACGTGGCACTCATGTGGAGGAGTAGAGAAGGTGATGGACTCTGGAGCTCTTACACGAGTACGCTGGGCGTAGTCATGTATGCTAGGCGTACTTTGATTTATCAAACTTCAAAAATTTGTATCTTTTGCGTACGAGCTCTGTTTTTGACGTTCTTTATATCTAGGCGTAGGTATGACTGTGCTCTACAACTTTCTTTTAGACTCCATCGGCTAATTTTGACTTCCTTTTTAATAATACACTTTTAATAGGCCGAGAAATGAAAAGTCCGTTAAAAATTCATAACTTCTTCATCTGACATCCGTGTTCGTCTGTCGTTTTACCGTTGAACTAAAATCGACGAGATATTCGATTCTCGGTTTGGTTGTGTTGGCTAAAACTCACTCGATCTTTATTTCGAGTTTTTAGCTGTCTACTGCTATACCGAAACTTGTAAAAATCATAACTTCCTCATACGCAGTCAGATTTTGACGTTCTTTTTATGAAAATTCTCAGTTTAACGAATACTACAAATTTAATTTAGATTACTAAGGCTAAAAATTAGTTTATCAAAAACTCACTTTTTACGTCATCCGACGTTGTGCCGGTTCTGTTGTGAAACTTCAAATAGGTATAACTCTTCATTATAACTCGGATTTCGATGAGGTTTTCGCCTAAATGTTTCTAACAAGATTTTCTACAACATTCAATAATAAAATTTTACTTATTTCAAATTTTATTTTTTCGTTAAATTTCAATATTAGATTGGAATCTCATAAGACTTCCAATATTTTCCGAGTGATTCTAAACATAGTTTTACTTTAATTCTAGTAAAAACTATCTGTTAGAACTCAATACTCAATATCACATAATATTTCATGATATTATTTATTACAAAAACACGGTTTCAAAACGTGTATGTTACGGTTATTGTATGTGTGAGGGCAATTAGGTCATTTTGTAGTCAACATCTTCTAGGCACAATAATTTTTCCGACGCATCACATCTTCTCAGTTCTTCAAGCTTATTTCAGGCACTTGCAATCAACCCCAATTTCAAAATTCCGCCCGTAAAAAATGCTAAAATCGTTTTTAGAGAATGGTTATCTTAGTCGAGGAATAATATTATGGAAGTCAGTACTTCTTCGAAGTTGCAACCTAGAAAGCAAAGCAAAACGCTAACTGACATGGCATAGGAAGTGATTGAGAAGGTAATAGTCGAGGTGGGGAAATTTCAGCACTTGATGCTTTCAAGATGAAGGTTGTGTAAGTTTTGTCTTCAATCCTTCTATTACACATTTATATTTGATTTGTGCTTACAGTTAGAGGAATATATTGTATTTCATTTTCAGTTGCAGAATCTTGAACGAGGTAAGAAAAATGGAAGAAATATACAAACAAATGGAGATAGATGGATTATGTTTTTGTCGTTGGTCTGATTAGAAATATGCAGTTATCAACAAATACAAAGAGTTGAGAAACCCAAATATTATGTTCAGGGATAGATTGGTACGTTGTTATCTGCATAGTATTAATTTGTTTCTTGTTTTACATTACTTTAACATGAAATTGTGTGTTTATTTTTTTTTTTCAGATGAAGTTATTTTTCTCGGAAGGTGATGAAGGGAAACCGATGCTTGAAGAAGCATCAACATTGGGACACTTGGATGCAACATTTGTCGTGAGAATGATGATGATGGCAGAAGGCCAAATAGAGGAAGCAGGAAGCTTTATACATGTTGAACGATGCCTACCGCATAACAAGATGTACATGGAATCTTACAACGTATTGTTTAAAGCTTCATCTACAATTAAATAGGCATGGGAGAAAACATGTACACTTCCATGGCTTCTATAGAACTTGTGTAATGCATAGATCTGTGATTAATACAACACTATTTTGTTACGATATTAGTAACAAAATAAGATGCATGCATGCATCATATATACTCTAACCCTAGAATTAAATACGAGAGGACAGGCCCAACCCGTTTACAAAATAGACTAATTACAAAGCCCAATAACACAACAACTAAATACTCTACAGGTTGCAAGGCCAATTTTATAAGCTCTCGAAAGTATAGGACTCTAATTAGAGGTTAAAGATCATAAATAGAAGGTTGCAAGTCAGATTTGGGATCAAAAGTCAGAGGTTCAAGGTAAGATCGGAAGCATCAGAAAATATGGAATTGCTATTATTCTTCGTGAAGGACTTGATGGAGTCATCAAAGGATTTGGAATATCTAGTTTGAAAAAAATGTGGAGTTGCTACTGTTCTTTGTGAATGACTTGTAAATAGGAATTCTGTCAAATGTCATGAAGGATCATTACTGGCATTTGAGAGCCTTTGTGAAAAGCTTGGGAAATTGTTCGAACCATAAGTTGTTCCCATTAATTAGTTGTTTATTTATTTATGTATTTCTACTCTATGTGTGATAGATAACACCATCTCTATATTATAGGTATGTGATCTACTTGTTACCATTTATTTTAGTTTCATTCTCTAATCAAGTTGTTGTTGTCTGGGAAGCTACTGAATGTGCTGCTTGTGCTATAATGTCTTAACTTAATGCTCAGGGGATGAAGCTTCTCCTTCCTTCACTTCTTAAAGTCCCTCTCATTTTCCTTATTGTTATCAATAGCAGGATATTTCAGATTCTTATGTGATTTATAACTTCATGATATTTTTAGGGTCTTAAAGATAAATCTTGGAGGAAAAAACAGAGTAGTGTTTAACTTCATGGATCCATGGCATACTGTGCTCCACAACAACTTTCTTAATGTCTACCTAGGATTGTCCTAAAGTTGACTGAGGTACTTTGTACAGAAATGCAATGTTAATTTACATCTTTGTTAGTTAATATAATCAAATTTCTTTTTTTATTGGTTTTAGGTGCTAACTGATACGCATTCAAAAGTTCAGTCTGTAGGGCAGACAACACTCCAGCAAGTTTGACTATATTCTTGCAAGTTATCTACCATTCGTGTTTTTCTATGCTTGTGGGTCGATGTAAATTTGTAATATTGTAAATATATTATTGTATTATAGGTTGGTAGTGTGATAAAGAATCCTAGAATTTCCTCCCATGTGCCAACTCTTTTGCTGGGTCTTACAGACCCTAATATCCGTACAAAATATTCCCCGAATATTCTTCTTCAGGTAACAACACATAATTCTTATTTTGTTAAGATTTGCAGTTGTTCTTATTTTGTTAGTTGTTTCTTGATCTTTCATAGACAACTTTAATAAACTTGATTGATGCTCCTTCACTTGCCCTTTTAGTGCCAATTATTCATCGTGGTTTGAGGGAAAAGAGTGCCGAAACAAAAAAGAAGGCTGCACAAATTGCTGGAAATATGTGTTCACTAGTCACTAACCCAAAGGATATGCTTACTTATACATGATTGATTTTTCCTCAAATGAAGAAGGTATAATATGTGTATCCTTTATGTATGTTTTGGCAAATGTATGTTTAGTAATAATCATACTAAAGTTATCTAATATATCTCACTTAAAACAGGTATTAGTGGATCCAATTCCTGAAGTTCGATCTGTAGCAACCAGAGCTGTTGGGTCATTGATAAGAGGAACGGGAAAAGAGAACTTCCCAGATCTTATTCCATGGTTTCTAGACACACTCAAATATGACGGTAGTAATGTTGAAAGATCTGGTGCTACTCAAGGGTTGAGTAAGGTCAGAATTTAGATAAGCTTATAAACTAGAAATTCTGATTCTTTTGTTCATTTTCAATCTGTTTATGGGGATTAATGAATGTCTCTTCATCTCTATAGGTAGTGGCTTCTCTTGGAACATAATATTTTGAACATCTTCTTGCTGACATCATACACAACTGCTCACATCAAAGGGAACCTATACGTGATAGTTATTTGACCATTTTCAAGGTTAGCTGTTGCTTCAACTGGTTTCATTCTCATTGTCTTTGTGTTTCATGTACTAGTTTCATAAAAATACTTATGTTCTAGCTGAATATAAATAAGTCTTTCTAGTAGCCAACCATTCTATTTAGCAACATAATTAATTATCAAACTGCATGTGTTAATTCTTATAATTTCATGTATTAATTGCACACCGAAATTGGTAGCAGACCATGTGCAACATACTTGCTTTGAAAGCGAGCTATCTATGGTGACATGTAAAAGGTAATAATTAATATACACATACTTCTTTTGTGAAAGATTACAAATGTAAATAAAAGCGTGTCGTCTTCATTTATGATAGGGGTTTCCTTGACATGCATTTGCGTGTCATCTGTGGCTTTTACGATACGCAATGCTTGTCATTAAAGGATATTTTTCTAGTAGTGAAAACTGCAATAAGATCGTCTTTTAGGGATTGAGCATGCAAGTTTGAAACAAACAAAGGATGGTTCAAGTCAATTTTTAAAATTAGGGACCAAACATGTCTTTTGGCACTTGTACAAAGGACGATTCGTGTAATTTACTATAATGCATAGATTGTAGTGTGTTCATCATATGTCACCATGCTCCCTGTTAACATGCTTTCTTTTGCCATGAACGAGTTGAGATTTACTTTATGAAGTCCATAGTTAGTCATAACTACTAGAGTGGTATTCATGAGTTACATATATCTTAGTGGTAGAGAAAAAACCATATGCATTAGATGAATATTGAAAATGGTGATGAGGCTTTATGGATCAACATTGTTGAGTGAACCTTGAACAAATGGTGATGAGGCTTTATGTATTCCATGGTTTATGAATGAAAGTAATGTCATAACTTGAGGTATGTCAAACATTGATATGAAACATGATATTTATAAAGGCTATTTTCGGATATGACATGAAACTCGGGAGAAAGAGAAACACAAATATATCAATATGAGAATCACTTATTCAGTTTTTTGGAGTTTTATTATCCTTTGATGGATGAATAAGTTGGAGCGTGCCACACCCAGTGGAGATGAGTGAATAAGTGGGGGCTTGTGAACCTTTATTTAATGGAATGAGAGAAGATGAGTGAATTTAGCGTTTAAGTTGCGATTAGTTGTTTAAGTTGCGAAATTGATATAGCATGATTAAAATATGTTATTTTTCGTTTGTATAGTTGTTTTATAACTTGAAAAAATGTTTATACTTTTCGTAGAAGTGGTCGTAAAACTTGAAAAATGGTTATAATAATGTTTACAATATGTTTACAATAATCGTTTGTACACTTGTCGTATAACTTGAAAATTTGTATATATTTGTCGTTAAAGTTGAAAAATTATTATAGTATGGTTAGAATATTTTATTTTTTATAATTTGAAAGTTAAAAATCATTTGTATACTTGTCGTATAACTTGAAAATTTGTTTATATTTATCGTTAAAGTTGAAAAATTGTTATAGTATGATTAGAATATGTTATTTTTTATAATTTAAAAGTTAAAAATCGTTTGTATAATTGTATTATAACTTGAAAAATCGTATATACTTCTCGTTTAAGTTGAAAAATTGTTATAATATGGTTAGAATATGTTATTTTTTTTTATAATTTGAAAGTTAGAAATCGTTTGCTTTTCGTATAACTTGAAAATTTTTATATACTTGTCGTTTAAGTTGAAAAATTGTTAAAGTATGTTATTGTTTTTCAGCGTAAATATAAAAATTATTGATTGAATGTTGGTTTTTGCATTGTTTATGTTTGTAGTTTGAATGTTGGATTATTATTGCATTTAATAATCTGATATTTTTAAATGAAATAGTTGTTTAGTTTTCTAATATTTTATTGTTTTTTGTGCTGATTCTAATAATTTAAATGTTAAAGCCATCACGAACTTAAAAGGATTGGGGTGTAGCATATGGGAAATATTTAATGTGTTAGATGGTGTCAAGTGTGATATTTTTAAACATACGATATTTGGTTACTTGTTGGACGTCCCTCATTTACATGGGAACGGATTGCTTTTCCACAAGATGTTTCTTCATCGAATACGGTCGGATGCTATTTTATCTCCAGATGGAATAAAACGGTTATATTTTAGAGTGGGTGATATGAAAATTGTATATGGCCCGGAAGAGTTTTGTTTGATAACCAAGTTTAATTTTGGCAAGTATCCTAAAAACATTGGGAAAAAAGTGTCAGAAAAAATAGTTAGTAGTAAAAAAAGATGTTTATTGCGTGAATGACTATTTCCGAATCATACAAATAGTTCGGTGAAAATCAGTGAATTGAGAAGTTTTATTTTAAATCAACCATTCTTAGAAGTTGGGGACGATGATGCAATTAGAGTATATTCGATATACATTTTGTGTGAATGTTTTTTGGGAAAAGAAATATATGATCGGGTGCCACAAGATTGTATTTTTTTTTGCTGAGAATTTGGATGTCTGGAACATATATTTTTTATTTACTTTAAAAGTTTCATATTATTAATGTTAATGTATATTATAACTATTATTGTTCTGTTTTGTTTAGTTTTGCCTGGGGTAGCTATTTATGGGATTTTACCTATGAGGATCTTTAGGATACGTGAAACAAGATAAATAAATATTTATCACTGCCTGAGCGTCGTCAAACTTTAAAATACTCCGTCTCAGGATTTACGACTCCATTTAGGGTATAAAAATTATTTGTATTTAAATGGTTTTATTGTTATGTTAGTTATTTTTTTTAACTATTATTACTATAATTTTAGAAACTGTAGATATGGATATATGAGATGCTTCTGGCTGTTCGTGCCTGTGAATTTGTATTGAGAAAAAATAGAGAAATACCTCGGATGAAACGATGGAATGACACAAAAAAATTGAAATGGGTTGATGTGAACAAGATTTTTTCAAAGACACATGTTTATATATATATATATATATATTTTTTATTTTTAATAAAATTCATTATTATACTTTATATGCATTTTTAATGTGTTCAATTTATTAGGAGGGACAACCACCAAGAAATACAATGTCACCGAGTGATGATGATATGAAATCTTGTTATTATATGTCATTTCATGAGTATGTATATGGTCAACGGAATTCAGTTCCATCTCCAGTACATGACCATTTTAGGAGACAAGACGAATCTTCGTTTAGTATGTCGTCTAGTGGTCGCTTTCAAGGTAGAGGTGGGCGTAGTGGGAAATCCAGCTTAGAGGAGGTGTTAGATTTAATGACCTAGTAATAACTTTAATACTTACAACATAAGAACGACACCACCATTTGTTTTAACGTTACAAGTACACTGCTCTAAACATAACAACAAATACAATAATTTATTGATGTAACAACTTCAAAACTATCAAAACAATATTAAAAAGCTTACAACTTGTAAACAATAATTGCCAAAAACAACACCCAACTACAAACCAAGGCTATCTTTAACTTCTTATTTTCTGATTGAAAGTGCTTATTACAGTTAGCTACTTTAGCTATTACCATAGATGATTGGTCCTTCTCTTCATCAACCCAACTGATAAACCCGCATTTTGGTCCCTATAAATTTAAACATTGACAATAAGAATTGTTGCCATATAATCATGAGGGTGTAAACATGAATGAAGTTAAGAACATGATGCCATATATGGGCAAGCGTAAAATAATCTTCCTGGGTTTTTTGTTGTACCCGAAATCCTAATGATACGTTGTCCTCCGCAATTATAGCATGTTCATTATCCAACTCGTTATAAATACGTTGAAAATGTTTGACCTTTCTTTTCAAATCAAGAAACTTCGCTTTAACATCTCTTCTTCTTTGATATTGAGTACACCCCATTTGATGGTGAAACAAATGACAGACACGAGACCAAAATGATCCAGCACGAACTTGTGGCGGACCTACTGGAAAATCCTCCTCTACAGTTAAGATCCAAGCTTGAACCAAAGCAACCTCCTCTTCGTTGCTCCATCTATGTGGTACAGGTGAGTCCATAGTTGCAAGGGGAAAAGTAATATGATACAATTAAAATGGATATGAACAACTATTTATAGCGACTCCTTATTTTCCCGGTGCAATGGCTTGTCAACTCAAGTAGCAGTGTATTGTGTTGTCATTCAATACAATGACTTGTCAACTCGAACAGTGATCTATTGTGTTCTTAGTTAGTACATTGCGTTCTTCAATTAAGTTGGATTATGAATTGCAGACAAATTAGAAGATTGGACTGCGATATTGTGTATAAAATACTATAAATTGATATTAAGTTAAAAAAACAGTTTACAAAACGATGTTATAGTTATTCATATATTATTTTTGAAATTTTACTCTCTTTGTTTCACTAAAAATGAGTTTTATACCATGGAGCAATGAGGAGTTCTTGGTTCTTACACATGCATACATTCATGTGTACGAGACCAACAAGTTGAATGATCTTATGTTTTGGACTCGTTTAACCAATATCTTCAACGCTGAAAACCAAATGACTACAGCAAATGATCGTGACGAACTGGACATCTTAGCAAGATGGTAAGAAATGAAAACTGAAGTTCCATTATTCAATGATCTTTATACCAAAATTGACGACACCCCTTTAAATGCTACTGAGAAGGTCATCTTGGAAGCTGCTAAGGAGGAGTACAAGTCATTAAGTGACGGGTTGGAATTCCAGTTTGAAGACCTTTGGAATATTTTGAAATATATCCCGTTTATTTAATATCTATTTAAATTTATTAGGTGAGTAGTAGTTTATTTTCATGTATTACGTATGTTGGAATAGTGTCTAAGGCTACAACTATATTAGGCAAGTATTTGACCCGGTTGTGCATGGTCCTTTTGGGTTGCCTTCACCATAGCAACTTGATAGGATGATTTATTAAGAGAGAGTTAATATTATTAGTATACTATGAGAATAATATAAAGA